GTAGAATACTCAGTGCTGTGAGGGCAGCTGCTCATTAAGCCACACAGCTGCAAAAAGAAGAGCACAGCACTGTTGCCTTCTCCTTTCAGTGTCTACCTTGTCCTTTGACTCAGATGACAGAACCTTGAAGACAGCTCAAAAAATTAGGGAAGTCACTGGTCTCCTTGGCCCTTCTGTTGCATGGTAATGAGTTGCAAGGAAATAAAGTTCACTTCACCTACACAGGCTGCTTCCTGCAACTTGTTGCACATGCTTTGGGGCAGCATGGTTCTAACCTGTCCCATCACTCTTGCTCACTAATTCCCAGTTTCTCCTGGTCTGTAAGCCTTTATGCCATTTTCCAGTAGAAGTGCATATCCCTATACTGTGAATTTAATTCAACTGATCATAGGTTTGCCTGTATCAGAAGGAGTCCACACTGACGGCCCAAAGTCATCTGCAGCAAGTTGTAAGCACTGATCCAGGCCCTCAACGAAGATGTGAGCCGGGATGCTCATTGTTCTCCAGCAGCATCCCAGTTTCCTTCCAAAGGAAACCCAGGCATGCGAGGAAGGAAGGAGCCATGTTGACACTGTAGTGTGTCACTTTAAGAGGATGCCTCATGTACCAGAATGGAGTGGCACATTGAAGGACTTCTGTCCTTCTCTGCCCTGAGGAGGTATGATGGAGCACACATCTGGGGAGGTATGATGGCGTGCACATGCTGGGATGAGGTCTGCGAAGGGCAGTGCCCACTCTGACAGTGCAAGCTCTGCCTTAATTATCTTATGCAGGCTCCTAGTTATGTGCTGCAAACCCCAGGTAGAAAAAAGATTTCTCCACATGACACACCAGTAAGGCTTTCTGCACTTTACCAACATTTAAGACTGAAATAAATTATAAGCACATTTTTGTGCCTCATCTTTGCTAAAGCTCTTAGCAGCAAACCCAGTTTCAAGGAGAATTGAGTGATGTGGACACTCAGCCTCTCTCAGGACAAGCATAAGAAAAGCTTGGATTTGCCATAGGTACAATTTTCCTCACTGTGGATGCTGGGCATCGGAATGGCAGATGAGAGAATGCTGCACTTCTCACAACAGGTAATATTCCTTGACAGGGAAAGAACTGGCTACAATTACTCCTTTCAGATTTGCAAAATGGGCTACCCTGTTGGTCCAACTCCCTTCCAAGCAGATTTTTTTAAAAAAGGACACATTTTCTTTAACAATCATACCTAATTTAAGCTCCTGCTTTGAAAACACATCTTGAAATACATGACTCCAAAGACCCTGAACTGATCATAATTTTATTCCATGTATAAAAAATTTATGGTTAAGTGGAGAATGCATTTCATGTGCAATACACAGTTACACTTGCATACAATATCTCTGTATTCTTCATTGATCTTCTTTCTTACATTACATCTAAAAATATGTTGTTTATCCAGCGTAGAAAAAGCTGTTTCCTAATGTAGCACTCAGCTTATTTGTTAGTATTATACCAATAGTGCGGTCCTTTCTAGTCTGTGTAGTATTAGCTACCTCTTGCTCTCTATACAAGTTTTCATTGTAGCACATTCATTTAATTGTTCCTGCCACTGAGAAAAAGAAGAAAAAGGGAAAGTAGATACAAGACTAGAATCGTACTTAACCAAGTCAAAAGTAGTTTTTCTGATACATACGGTGTTATTTCAGTTTACACCAAGGCAAGCTTGATAATAAAAAACAGGCCTTAGCACCTTCCAACATTTTCTCAAGTGTAGTCTTACATATTATGCAGAAAGAATTAAGTTTGAAGAAATAATGAAACCCAGTTCAAATGTATGTTATAGGGCTAAGGTTCACAAGGCTTCAGCTGGGCAAAGTGTGCTTCTTTAGGAACAGACTGCTTTCTCCGCCCACTCAGCCCTCTCCAATTCAGAACCTTTTCCTCTGAACATTATAACATGAAAGACATTGTTGTGGGATGCTTTCCAGTTTCAGCACTGAAAATTGATGGCCTCGATCTTTTGTCTGATAGAGAGTTGTTTTTTATTAAGGGCAAAGACACAAACAGTTTTGAGAAACACAGCAATGCAATTCATGAAAGTCAAATTTCACTGTCTTCTAATTCATTTTATAATGGCAGCACAATAAACAATTATTAATACTTATTCCATGAACTCTCTTCTGTCTTTCAGAAGACAACAGTAAGCTATAAATTAAACTGTAGTAGCTGCTAAGTATTTGAAGAGACATTCTTTTATTTTAAAATCCTTTTTTAAAATTATTTTTTTGTTTTGCTTGTTTTTATGTTCCAGGCTATCTATGTTCTATGGTGAGGCATCCATTTTGCAGGCTGACAGAGACCCTGTTGCCACACAGCCAGATGTTCCAGTAACTAGAAAAGTGGGATCGGGAAACTCTAAAGAACTTTCCTTCAATCAGAATAAAACGGCAGACCCCCTAAACCAGAATAATTCAGCTGTCAGCGGGTGAGCCCTGTTTTCACCATGGGATATTTCTGTTTCACCCTAATCCATTGAATAAGGCTGTTACCAAACTATCATGAAGTAAATCTAGATGTGAAGTACTTAACTCATACCACCTTACTTCCTTATTATTTTATGAGTGCAAGCTTATTTCACTTTGAAGTGCGCTCTAGTGTCTACATAAAGAGTCAGTCAAGCAGGTAGCATGTTACACATTTGTACAAGTGCGCTAACATAATCTTAATTACTTTGTAAGATCTTCTCCATAAGGACAAATCTTGAGATTAAAAGACACCCAGGCTTTCCTCTGTCTCCCCTCTTGGCATCACCAGGGGCTTATAATTAAGAACCTTAAGTCCTTCATTAATAACTTTTTACCCCACTTAGAAATGGAGATAATTCCTACTTTTCTGGAGATTTTCCACAGTAATTTTGAGTGTAGGTATATGATTAGAAAAAAGTATTACCTGTCTCTAAATGTAAGTTATTCCGTCTTTTACAGGATTTAAAATGGGGCACTCCTAATGTACTGAGTTCTACATCTGCTGGCACTGGTTCTCTCCTCAGTTACCAATTAAATTTTTCCAAAAAGCAATAACAAATGTAAAGAGAAACTACACACAAGGTACACAGAGTGCCTGAAGCACTCACTTCTGCTAAAGGTTTTCATCTTTCTGGGGAAGGCCTAAATCAGGACTATCCTGATTTAGAAATCAGGACTATCTTGATTTCTGAAGATTGTCAGATTGCAAAGGTGGCGGATGAGAAATCCTTTTGGAAGCAACAGCCACATGTATAGAAAACATTTTATTGATTTTTATGCCTTTTTTTTTTTTTCCAGTTCTCCAATGTGGCTGGAATGTGCAGTCCATATTATCTTGGCAGCATACAAAAACAATAAGAAAGTTCCACTACAAAACAGCCCCCCAAAACTAGAAAAACATTTTTTAATATAATGCACTTTCCTATGAAAAGTAGTTGCTGGCCAATCTTCAGTAAGAAAAAACAAAACAGAAACTCCTTATTTCGCAGATTTAGTGATTAAGAAACTTTGCTAGGCACAA